TTCCTTCCATGTCACTCTCTTCGGCGGTCCCTGGTTTGAATATGAACAAACCGTGGCCTGTCCCTGGCGTGCTGAATAACCAATCATATACATCCCAAAACACTTGAACCGGTTGTTTATCCACCAGCACGGTCTGATTCCCTCTGAATTTCCATTGTAGATTCTTGACCTGTACCATCACAATCCCGTCTATGCTTATCCACATCTCCGGCTCCTTAGGCCCCGCGGTCGAGCTTTCCACTATGATCTCATGCTCTTTTTTCCTGTCGTAAAACTTAGCCCTCGTCGAAAAACACTTCTTCCCAAACACATTCTCTTTCTTGTAGAACAAGGCAGCCTCTACCAATGCCGGCCTCGACTTTGTTCTCTTGAAAGCCTTCTTTTTGTAATCACCCACCAACAAAACCACCTCTTCCTCCGAGACTAGAGCCACGTAGAAGTCCGAGCTCGGCTCGGGGCTACTCGCGAATTTCGCTGACCTAAAATCCCAATACACCTCTACGGGGTTACCTTCAACCTCGAAAGTCTTGTACCCTTTCTTGTTCCAGAAATGCCATGGCTTGAGATCAACCTTGCAGCAATAATTCATATCGCCTTCTACGCTAGTAACCATAACCGTTAGCGAATGGTTCATGAGATTCTTGGACCATAGAATCGTCACATTCCTCCAAAATCCGGCTATATGCGTTTGATAGATGCACGTCACGGTGCTTTGTGCCGTCTTATACGTTACAGGATCCCCTGTTATCTTCTCCGCGAATTGACTGCTCCCTGTTGATTGCGATCTGAAGGACATGATGGCTTCTCCTCCTCCTCCCTAAACCAACTTCTACACACAAAAAAATATAGCAAATTCTATGTTTTCACATATCAACAGCCAATGGTACGTATCAGAGGTATCTCAAAAGCTCCTAAACGAAGTCCCTCGAGGCTTTTTCAGTAGATCCAAGAACGAACGAAGGAAACGAACAAAGAATAGATATATCAAATTGAGAAGATTAGGTTTTTGGGAAAGTTTGAAGATTTGGATG